ACCGGACAAACGGAAAAATTACGTAAAAAAAATAATAAAAAATATAATAGTTCGCCTTGAACTTCGCGCGCGCGCCCGCGGGAAGAGCTGCGGGGAGTGATCCGCGCCGGTCGTCCGACCGAAATGAAACCGGTATCCGCGATGTTGGCGCGACGGCAAAGAACGTTCGGCGTTGAAACCGTGTTGACCGGAGCAGTGCGTTTTAAATGGAATTTTCACAAACCATTTCGTTCTCGAAAATAGTCAACGTATAATGATTATGTATGATGGCCATATTTCACGTTCGCGCGGCATAATTTCGCCCGATGTTTCGAAATCCTGTCGACTCGAGTTGTATGTGCAACGGGCGTCTGGTCGATTCTCCGAACGACTCATCGTCGACCGCAAAGAAGCGCAGTCGCACTCCGACCGGGTTCAGGCTGGGTTCGCATGAATCGCGTTTACAAATCAAAACGCAGTACAGTGGTAATAACGCGTCGTAATCGTGACGTAAACGTTTCATTTGCTATCGCCGTTGCGGTTGAACCGCAATAACCAATAATATAGTTATGTTGCGATTACTATCGGAGGAAGAGAGGAAAAATTTCAATTGTTGTACATGCGCTTTGGAAACCGTACCTTAACGCGTTGGATCGGCGAACGTGCGAACAATGGTAACAACGTTGACGCGCGTTTAACGTCCCTTTCGTTGCGCGTCAACGCACGTACGTTTTGCCGCACGCGTTACGACGACCAAAAGTAATCGTCGTCAGTGCCGGATCGAGAAAACTGACGCCCGAGACCGATAGAAACGTAATGCCGGGTGCGTTCGTGACTTGTTTTGTTTCGCATAAGTTTAAGAGCGCCCTTGTACCAACAGCGCCCCGGGGTGAGAGCATCCTAGATCCTCAGACACCGGCCTACTATACCGTCGTCAGCTGATATCGATCTACGATTCGGTCGATTCCCCTCCACCCCCCGTGCAGCTACGCCGAGATAACACCGTGCAACACCGTGCGCGCACTGCAGCGATCCAGTCCGGCCGATTACCGCGGGAGGTTGCCAACCACTCGAGTCCTGCTGCGGTCATGATCAAACGGGTCGGGGCGAAATCGGAAGACGGTCGTCGTGCGCGCGGTAGTAGTTGTCGACCAGACTATTATATTATATTTATGATGGATGTTTCGACGAGCTCTCGATAATATTGCTGTCGTTATTATTATTGGATGTAGTGTTGCGATGATGTGTGACGTCGCGCCGCGGCGTTCACGATCCAGCCACTGGATTTATCGTACGGCCCGGGTAGTTGGGGGAAGGGGAGTAGGAGAAAGAAAAAAAATTAATAATAATGTATCTTACGGACTCGACCGCGCGACACGGCGACGGTGTGTACGGGCTGTTAACGAAGAACGGATTCTTCGGCGGACGTCAAGCTTTGGCTAGTAGCATAGCCGTTGGTTCTCGGTAAAATCGTCGGACGATCGCGGGCAACAGGAGGAGAGATGTGTACGAGAGCGAATACCTGAGCATATACACGGCGCATTCTGAGGTAAACGGAGCTAATTAATTGAACGCACGTTTTCATTCGATCCCCGTCTTTCATTTCGCACACGCACATATGTGTATACGTATAAACGTACACGTCCAGCACGTATCGCCGACGACTATAAATATACGCATATACGAGTGTGTGTGTGTGTGTGTGTGTGTGTGTGTGTGTGTGCAATTGAACCGATAGCGGCACGTTTACCGTTTGACGACCGGCCATGCCGCAGAAGGAAAAGGACGAACCTATTTCGGGCCTGTGAGGAGCGCGGAATATTTGCATTTATATTGATTTCGACGCCGACGCACAAGCGCGGCGATTCGCACTCGGTTCATCGGCGTACGTTTACAGCAATGTCCGTCACGTACGTGTGTTATTATTATATTCCATACCTTACGGCCGCGATGTTCCTTCTTTTACGTACTTTATGGAATTATGTAACCGTACGGTAGCTGGCCTGTTAAGACAATTATTTGCGTGCAGTAATTTATATTCTATAATAATGTAATACGAGGCCGTACGGTCAACATTTACAGAAAATCGATGTTGAATAATAACCGTTACCACATGAACAATACGATAATTCGTACGGTCGGTTAATACTTAAAAACCATTATTGCCTAGCTGACGAATATAATAGTATTCTTGTTGAAATTGTTTCGGAAAAAAATGGTATTGTACTGTCTACATATTACTCATAATAACAGGAGAGCTACGAACATTTACCAGTATTTTTATTCGTTTTAAACACGTCAGTTTATATACGAGTACCATTGAATTTTTCGAAATCGTACAACTACAAAACATTACCTAGAATAAATTTTTTTTTTTGGTATAATATCAAGAAAATAAATACGAACTAAAGTTTCGAACAACTCTTTAGTGAAGTACATCTCAAGTACAATTATTTGAATTGGGATCGACCGGTCAATCGAATATTAACCGTATATTGAACTTTTAACATAAACTTACATTTTACAAACACGCGCGTGGATACTCACACTCGAGCTAAGTTTCGATATTTGTCGGTCTGGTATTCACAGTATATATTGATACGCCGATCACGTATTAGTAATTAAGTATCTATCAATATTGCGAAAGCGCGCGGGTGGTCCACCACCGCCTGATCGTTCGACATCTCACGTCGATACACTGCGCTATATCGGCTCACTGATTACAAAATAACGCGAACGGATTAAAACTTTTTAAATCGAAACCGATTTCAATTAAGATAAAAATGTTTCCAATCGTTATCCTACTCTTGCCGCACTTCGCGCGGAAGCACGGTGTGATTGACTTCAAACACTTTAATATGTTTTTCCCATTATTCCTCTTCGTACACCCCATTCATCGCCCGCAGTTGATCCTTATCCAAATATCACCCATTCTCACGCCCCTAACGAACATATGAGTACAAATACCATACAATCAAAATACACCAAAGAATTTGTCTGACGCATGGCGAATAAGAATCGGTGAAACTTTTAAACGTCAAAAGTTCCTACAGATTTAGTATAAAAGTAAATCAACAACCTTGCTTTAACCTAACCTTTAAGTTTAGACTTTTTATTTTAAATAGTCTACAAAGAAAGAAAACCGTGTTTTAATATAAAGCAGCAAATTACCGTTTATAACCCAAAATGCTGAACATAATTCACTTAAACGGTCGGTAATTCCTACACGAATGAGACCATAAGTGATTTGAATTGGTTCGTAATTGACTAATATTGTCATGGTACAACAATTAATCGAAGCACGAAAAATCAGATAAATTAATTAATTAATTTTATCGAACTTCACCCTTTGTAGATATTATTCAATAGCGGTATTGCACACACTTATAGATTGTAACCTACAGTTATATTGCCGAATAAAACGTTTTTAACTCTAAATAATCACATATAACTCTATTACGTTAGGTAAAAACCGAAAACAAAATTTAAGATTGATTGATGAGAGGTATCACGTACACATTTAACATCAACTTTTCTCTTAAGAGCTGGGAATACGTACACGGTAAGGCAATGATGGTGACTAGGATATAAACAAAAACCGATTCGAGTGCAACGCGAAAATGAAGTTAAACCGTTTGACTGCGTGCGGTATACATATTATTATTGTATACCACCGAGACGTTGTGCGATCATACGATTTCGGTAAGAGTTATGTACTATATTCAACCGATGCACCTACAAGTTTGTGCTGTTATTAAGTTTTCGAATTTTCACTGTTATCCCGCGGCAACAATGATTTGCATACCGGACGCATGGCGGCCACAACGACGACTCCTGGACTCCGGACTCGTCGTCATCATACGGCACACGTGTACAACAATTATACGGTCCTCCTCGGGACATTCGTTCGCGAAGAAGAGAGGAAGAGATAAACGAATAAATACGACGGAGATGAGTCGTGACAGTGCGGAGGAGTAGCGGTAAAAGTGCGTTTGAAAAAGAAAACGCACAATAAAACGTATGATAAAATCGCTGTCGGGCAGGGACATTGTGTGCATTGCCGGATATGTTTAGCGTTTACCGGATGGTGGTGTCGAATCGCGAGAACTGTGTGTACCCGCAGGATTATACGCACACCGTATACTCGTATTGTAATATTATTATGCGGGGAGACGCCCGAGATCGTGATAAATGCACAACTTATACATGGTTGCATACGCACAGGCTCGGAATCCAGTTTTCACGATTTCGGACGACCGCTTGGACCAGCTTGCAAAATTCTCCTTCTCTCTCTCTCTTTGTCCGTAAATCATAAATCGCCGCATAACCAGTCATTATTATAACTTATTGTTACTGTTATAGAATTTGTAGGTTAGGTTCTACAACCGTAAGCGCGAGAGTATGCACAAAACTGGTCGTCGTGTTATAACGTATCGTATTGTACGTAGACTTTTAAGATAACACGTACGCGCACCGTGAAAATATAATCGTAATGTGCTCACAATCTATACGTATTATAAAATATTTCGGAAAAGCGACGAACGGCTTGGATCATCTGTCGATCGAAGAGTTTTTAAATCTCCCGAAACGTAAACGGAAAAAAAACAATTAAAGGCATGCGAGAGATGGATTTTGTCCTTCACGTCCTTTTTTTTCTTTACTTGTATTCGATCAAAGGTGTGGGTTTTTTTTTATTCGGACGAGACGTTATATTTCGACGTTCTACCGGCATGAGGGAGTTAGCGATATATTTTGCGATCACGCACTGTAGTTATCGCTTGTTAGCACTGCTAATTACTTCACGCAAGAACACAACCTGCATTAACCATTAACGATCGCCAGACGATGATAATTGAAAATTTACTGTTGGTTAACACGAACGGGCAGTACCTACCCATACATACGAATACGGTTTCCTGTTTTTATCGGTTTACTCGTCTTTATCGCGAACTCGCGTGCATTTGATTACAATACGAACGTAAAACGATACGGTTACTGTACACATATGAGTAACTGCTTACCTTTAATGTGTCCATTCAGTCCATTTTTGTTGCCGTTAGCGTAGAGGTGGCGGGCAGGATAGGGCTGTCGGTGGTTTGACGGCTGCGACGACGAGTGATTGTGGCACATGAGCCGCACGCAACTGTCCCAACACCCGCCATGCTCAGCCTCTACACTCATCTCATTTTCATCCCTGAAAAACGAACACATTGCGATTGATATCTTTGGACAATAACTGTCGGGGGCGCAGCAGAAGGTGCGCGCAACACAGTTGAGTGTTTTTGTTACTGACCAAAGTGATATTATTTTATTTTTTTTGCATTAACGTACTTTAAGTTAGGATTGAAAAATATAGTACATCTTATTTCGTCGGCATTGAAATATTCTCGATATTTTTTAACTGCACGCACCGCGAATGCGTAACGAACAGCACAGTATAGTAATTAATAGCGTAAAACCATTGGAACCAAAAAAATTTGACACAATGGAATATGCTGCTATTAGACACGAATAATGGAAATGTTACAATGTTGTTGACTGCACTTGTAGAAAAACAAAAGAAATCTAAAAGAAAAGGATAATTCGACAGAAAATTAAGCGATAAAAGATTATTAAAATGGTGTTATCGGCAACAAACAGATGATAGAATTGAAAAAATAGCACAATGTAAAATAAATGAAAATCATCTATATAGATATATATGGAATATTTTTTACTTATAACTGGTGGCTACGGTTCAAACCGTTACTATGAAACTTTTAAATGGAATTTAATTTTAATGTACAGTAGAGATTGTTTGAAAAACCGCAATATACGTACAATTGATTTTATTAATTAAAAAGATTTTCTTTTTTCTCACTAGAAGTATGCCCATAATATAATAAACTAGTAGTTATACAAGTCCAAGTTAACCCAACCCAAGATAGAAGTAAGCGATAACGGTTTTGTTTTTATGTTCAATAAGAAGATGCCGTTATACAACTACATAGTATACCTATTGATTGAGATAATGCAATTTAAGTATTAAATATGCATAATACAATGATGAGTGCAAGTATGCGGAAGGAAATATATTTAAAGTATTGCAATAAAAATGTCGCACAACTCGTGTAACAAAAATATGACAAAAAAATTAATAGCAAATACGCATAAATTGTATTATGTGTAAATAAAATCGTGTCAAATACAACCGTAAGGTATATTTTGGTTGGAAACAACATACTTGAAAAACTCGAGTGAAAAACGAATTTCGTACTACGATAGTACAGCATCATAAACGTGCACAGGGTGTTGAAAAACATGTAAAACGTTCGAACTGCACCTGAAAGAGTAACGGGAACATACGTAATACATAAAAACTAATTAACAAAATACAATGTATGGACGGCAATTCAAAACATGTACATTTAGTGCGTGTTATATGTGCGCGAACCACTTTTACATAACCGTCATATCAATTACACACACGAACATTTAAAATACACGTTACTATATATCTTATAGCCCACGCTACACGTTATATATTTTATAACGAACGAATGGTGAATAAATCATCACGACTGGCCACACTAGTCGGATTATACGTTCGATTTCGGTGAAAATAAAGAGAAACAAATAATGACATTGCGACGTACGTAAATAAAACTAAAAGCGTAATTTCGCATCAAATTACCGAGGGATGCAAAACAAACCATATCTGATCTACGAACCGAAGTCAATAATAACAACAGACGTGTTTGATTTCGATTGATAAACGACGAAAATTAAATATGTACGGGTTTAAAAAGAAATCGTGGGAAATGCAAATGCACGCCCTTAAGTACATCGTATCGCTCAACAACACTGTACGCCACTGCGTTACGGAACGAATTCAATCGTTGTGCGAGCAGTGTTTTTATAACGATTAGTATAAAAACGAGTACCGAACAATAATAGGTACATATGTACGCGCATGATCAATGAACTGTAATATTGTCAATATGGAGTGAGAACACGCCGATAGTCGACGGTTGTTTAACACAATGCGATCTGTGCACGTCTATGAATTTTCCCAAATGTGTACATATCTTCTGCACTTTCGTTGCGTAATAGATACTGCACCGACGGCCATAAGAACAAGTACCTGAAAACAACAAAATGTTCAAATAATAGCATACGGCGAGTACTATGGATACGTTTACAGTATTATAATGTTACGGTTGTTCACTGGAACACGTGAACCCGGTGATAATTTACGACCGGTAATAAATTAGCAGTACACACAGTGCAGCTGCATGTAGAATTGTAGAATTATGCAATGTGAAATATATCCCGTGTTTAGAATTGTAACGAATTTGTACTTCTTGCGAGAGTACACAATTGTTGCAAAGGTCGACCCGATGAACTAATAGCAAATTAATGAACTTCCGACGATCTCTGTGCAAACTCAATGTACGCTTAATTAATCGCCATAGTGTGGTTCATAATCATTTTTCGATTGCATTCACTGTTCATTAGCGATTCTCGGCATCTAATGATCCGAATCATATAGCCCATTGTGATTTCATCTTTTAAGCAACAATATATAGCCATATATACATGTTTGTTTGGTTTAGAAAATCTATTGAAAATCAAACTCCAGTTTAACTTTAAAATCCGTTACTGTTTCTAATAAATAATGACAGCAATGAAAAATAATGGAGCTCAAGGTTAAACAAAAAAAAAAAAAAAAACACGCAAGTATTGGATATTTACCGTTGAAACGTTAAATTAATTCGTTTGTACGTCGTATAATACATATTTTTTCTTCACTTTTTGAATTATATTTTAATCATCTTGGACATATTTTTATTAACACTGCACCGAAGGTTCGTCATAGTTTCATAATTTAGTTATTCAAGTCATAACTCGAGGATACCTAGACCAATATCTATAGAAAGTACAATAACATTTTTTCTTTCCTTTTAACCTATACCGATTGAGACTAAATTGCTGGGACCTTACACGCCAAATGACCGTACAATTATAGTTGGTAAAAAATGTAGTAGCAAGATCGACAATCACTATATAAAAATAAATAACATAAAAAAAACGAATTTTTTTTAATTAAAAAAATCATGTTATACCTACGTTTTTCGACTTGTACGTATATATAACGAACAAGCATTTAGATCACGAGATAAAATTTTAAATTCGTTAAGTGGTTCAATTCTTCTTGTGACCTCTATACGAAACAAAATCCTATACATTTTTAAAGCACAATGTTTATAATTGTAGTACGTTTTAGTTAAATTATTCAAAGCATAGTACGGTGAAAATTGTAAGGTCAAACGGCTCGAGAAAAAACACGACATCATAATTAACAGACCATGTGCATTGTACATTACACATATGGTATATACACATAGCATGAATATGCCACTTTTATAAATATTTTTATCTCATTTCTTAAGATTCAATAATAAAAACACCCACAAATTAAATCATTCCGGTGACATAATGTGTCCTTACTTGGAATCCATTACGATGTTGATACGTTTACGAAAACGTGCAGGAAACTATCTACAAAACGAATCGAAATATAGCGACTACACTAGGCATATAAATGGTTGTAAAAATGATGACTATCCACGTATCCATTGCTTGTACATTAAATCATAAATCGAGATATTTATACGAGAGCTATAAAATCGCAAGTTGTAATCACTTCTTATTCATAGTGGTGCGTCAATTTAAAGAAGTTATTTACATTTCACGTGTCGAATAAAAAAGTGTATAAAATATCAAATCGAAAATTTTAAAAAGAAAACTTTAAAAATAGGTCAATAGGTACCCATGAAATGGTGATAAAATTAAAAATATTTAATGTACTTGTATTACAGATGGAATAATTTATGGATAGTATGCTGCTACCGCGAATTCGAGAGGACGAACGCACTAAATGATATAGTGTTGTTATTGATCACATTGTGTACAGAGTATTCTATGAGGTTTTAATAATTTCAATAACTGCTTTCTATTTGCAAATTTGAAAATAATCAAAATTACAATTTTTTTCATGTAATAAAAGTAAATATAAATATAATTTAAATATTTGTCGTATGAAACTTTTCCAAATTCATGCGTACTTTCATGATAACTTCTCATCGAAACATTTATATGAATATAATACACAAGATATAGATTCAGTTATATATATACATGATAAAAAAACGGAGGTTTTTATGAAATTTATAATTCACAAAGTATGCGATTCTTCACTGATGGTATGCAGTTTAGCCGAAATAGTATTTGAAAAGTCAAGCATTCTAATAACACGGTAGCCGAGAAACGAAGATATAGGGGACGTGAAATAACTTCCTTGAACATGGTACAAAACAATAAGACGAGTTAAAAAAAAAAGAAAAGAACGGTGGCACGCACGACTGCGATACCGGAAGTGACTGAGCATCCCTATAACAACGCGACAGCTGATGTCGGTACCCAACGACCTGGCGCGTCAACCAAACAGCTTAGGAACGTGTGCCGCTGGTATCGCGTTCCCCGCACATATTACTATTCTTATTGCTATTATCATTGTTAATATTATTATTGTTATTACTAATATCTCTATTGTTATTAATATTATTAATATTATTATTATTATTATAACCCTTTTGATTTACCGCCACGCGCGAATTAATATTTTTTTGTTAAAAAAAAAAAAAACGAGGATTTTTTTCACAAAATCGTGCGATTTTCAAAGACCGTCGGTAAATCGCTCAGTCGATTTTTTCTCTTCTCGTAAATCTATTTTACAGGTACGCAAACGTAATAATATCATAACGTGCGTATGTGCGCGTGGTAGACGGTGCCGCAGCCGTAACGGTCCTTTACGCGCGTATACATATACGTAAACTCGTAGATATGTGTATAAACCCGTACTGACCGGCGCCGTGCTAATGGCAGGAGGGTTCGGCGCGCGTATAATGCATATAATGACGACAACGACTGTAATAACGTTACACGGCAAAAATAAAGTTATGGACTGGACCAGTTTTTTTTTATACCCCGCGCACGTTATAGGTATTCCGTCGACCGTCCGTCCGACGATCCGTCGTCTTAAGCTCGTTTGCACGCACACACATGCTTGTGCGCGCGCACACACACACACACACACACACTAACTTGCATTCACACTAGTGACGAGTAATTACGGCAAAAATTACATTTTCGTGAACCCGGTGACCTAATCGGCAAACCGTTCGCGAGACAGGGCTGGCAGGATATATTTACTCGGAGATGTATGTTTAAACACGTAGTTCGTAATCAATCGTAAATTATTTTCATATCCCGTACCGCGAGCAACGCTTGTCTTCCGACTACAGTGGCGCCAAGATCATAAAATTAAGTCCAGTGAAAAATATTTAAAAAAAGCCACGATATCTAAATATCGGTAACAAAATAGGGGGATAGTTGTTTTTACCCAAAAAATATTGATGTTAGGCTTTAATTTTGTAATGAACACGGTTTGGTTGCCCAATATGAAGCGGCCTTATCATACATTTTCAAAATATGTCGGGCCAAGGTGCGACATCGATATTAGGGTTCGGCGCCACTGTTTATTTATATATATATATATATATATATATATATATATATACACTCAGACACGGAGGGACAGTAAGACTGATTATTATAGAAGAGGGCGTAGAAGGAAAAATTGAAAAGGTAATTGCAAGAGGCGTTTACAATAAACGACATAGCGAAGACCCTTGTATTTATTTCGCATCAAGAAATTACGTGGAAACGACATGGACGCGAATCACGGAGAACCGCTGCGAACGACTGCAGGTATCGAGTACAAGAGATAAAAATAATTGTACATCCAGAGCCGGGGACTGAAATCTCGACGGGCAAGTGCGTGTGCCTCAGAATGGCGGACGCGTAAAAACAAGAGTAGCAAAAAAAAGAAAACCGCGGGTAAAGTGATACAATGAAATAAATAATAAAACAATATAATAATAATATTCAGCGAAAAGCGTAATCGAACGAAAATGAAGCCGTGCAACTTTAAATACAAACGCAATAATATGATTTCCGATTTTCTTTATTTTCGTCGAACTCGCGAACCGATGCCGAATGAGCACGTCGTTTTACGAACGCGACAGAACGAAACGAACGCGGCGGACTCCGCCGTGAACGCGCTCGCCACGCAGACACCCTTCACGCGAGGGTCGCGTTTCCGCTGCAGGTACTCACTTTTTTCCCGGGTTCTCTTGTGGTCCCGTCGCAATTCAGCTGCTCGAGAACTAACGATACGATCGGTCGGCCGTGCGCGATTGGATTTCGCGAGATTTCCACGCCGAGTTGTGCGCACCAACGCGGAGGTGTACGGCGGAGTACGAGGAGAAACCGAAATTAAAACGACAAACGAACGGTTTTTGTTTTAAATTTGTCCCGTGTCAAATGCACCGAACAAAACGTCAACTTAAATGTCAAAGGTCCGTTCGAACCGTCCGTAACACGTCGACAGCAACGCACGTCACGGAAACAGTCGCGAGGCGCACCGACTGGTCGGCAAATAGTCACACGTGACTGCTGGTGAACAGCCGCCACCGCCGTCAAAACTGCGCAACCGTTCTACTGCTCACGGGCGCCATCTGACGACCGCCGAATGTTTCATCGTATTTTATTGTAGTCGTCATTACTATTATAATTATTATCATTATTACTGTTATTTAATTTATTTGGTTTGTCTTTCACTCGTACAAAAAAAAAAAAAAAAAAACCCAGTAATCGTCCAATTACCTGCATGTGCGTTCGTCACCACCAAAAAACACTTGTGTACGTGTGCACCCAAACACGCGCGGAGGGGTGAAAAATATGCTCAAACAGGTGGTGGTTGCAGCTATAATACAGTTTTCGTGCGCACGTCCGAAGTACCGATACCGAGCAGATGGTCTACGCGAAATATGTTGTCTAGACGAGTGTAAAAAGCGCGATTCGTATAGAATTCAAAACAAATATATGCTCCGAACAACAATACCACGCTACTGCATGAAAAACAACGAATATAATTATAACTCAAGACGTAAGTACGAGTTGACCAAACAATCCTTTTCTCAATTGATCTGTACGGTTTTAAAAATGTAACTTCCGCCATATCCACTCGTATTGAATGTTGAATAATTTTCAATAGCTTACTTACTCGAAGTATCGCCAAAATCGTTCACTCGTCTCAGATGAAGATGAATTAGTTTGCAACAAATAAACCAAAATGCATAATAACTGCGTTGTGCATAAAAATCAAAATTAATAGCAAACCTGTATAAATGTAAAACAGTTTTGGTTCACAAACGAAAATTATAAAACCAATAATTATACCATCAGACGCCAATGAGTAAATAATCAAGGCATGATTTTAAATTTAAGAAACCCAAATGAAATAAATGTAATCATGTGTACCTTGATTAGTTCGATTTAAGCAAACGTCGCTTCAGAAATATTACCAGATAGTTTTTTGAAATCATTTCAATGGCCGCATCAACTTCATTTTTTACTGTTCAAGTAAAATAAAATAGACTCAAAAAAAACTTATCGCATCTCACATCGTCACAAATATTTTTTTTTAAACTTAAAAGTTAGCAGGTGTTCATGTTTTCCTACTCCAATGTAGGTTTATGTTAAAATAAATCCATTACATGTTCATTACGAAAACAATTTTTATAATAATAATAGGAATAAAATATGATAATAATGCAGTACCGCTATGTTACAAACAACCGTCTATAGGTCTAAGTAACCGACTACACGCGTCGAGCAAAATAATTTTATTATTTGAATATTATAATATATCATAATGTTATATCCGATAAACTAAATTGACCGATCGTAATCTGTTATGAATAGACTATAAAAATGCGATTGTAAAACAATGAAAAAATATGTGTTGTCATAAGTTCTTACGATAATAATGATTGACTAATTAATAATCTGAACATTTAATCGTCTTTTATGGTTTATATTGTTTATACACAGGTCATGACCTCAGTTATGCATATTAATAATGTAATAAATATATGTAATCAAAATTTAAAACTCATTGTCACAACTCGTAACTCATATTATAACATTTGAATATTCTAATTCTTGTCTCTTTCGTAATGGAATTGTAAAATACCAATAACATGATATTGTTTAAAATTAGTTTACCCGATTTAATAAATAAATTAGAATAGAAAAAAATGGATGGAAGTCTTACAACAGTAATTATATAATGTGAATGATAAAATTAAACAAGCAGAGTGATGAAACTATGGTTTGAGTTTTTTTTATGATAATACGCCTAATGAATCTTCAATGGGAACTATAGTGGTTTTGTTAACTATGACAGCAGTGAATCACACGAGGGTATAGATAATAACAGGTGTTTTTTTTTCATAACAATTCTCGTATATAATGTTTTATTGGCTTAGAGTGAACAAATTTTCCGATTAAAATTTACCTAAAATAATTTTTTTTCAGAATATTGACTAAAATAATGCTTTACTTAAGACTATAATTTACCAAACTGGAACGAATGCAGTATTTTGACAATAAATGAGGGGTTAAATACTTAAACTATGTATATAAATATGTTTGTATTATATATGTATATAAATTGTATTTGTGTGTAATATCGCATGTATGTAAGAAAAAAAACAAATATGAATAACAGGACTAATATTATTGCTCGTTTCGTTTATACTCATATGTAATAAATATATGATGTCACATCAGGTATAATATACTTATTTTCTACATTATTTTCAATTTGAATTCGTTTGAAAAATTATTCAGAAAATAGATTTCAATTTATTTACTATACAATTTAATATATTTTAATAAAGAGTGCACGTGTTTGCAGTAATTTTCAATTTACTCTGAGTATGGTAAAGCTTCTATAATTTGAAAATTAATATTTCTAAATAAAATGTGTGATTTATTTCTAAGAATTAGTCTTTTAAAATTTTACATTGGCCATTTCTAGAAAAGCTGTATAAACACTTATCAACTAAAAAAATTCAACAACTGTTTTACAGTATGCTAATTATAGTATTTCAAATACTTGTAAAATATCAATGAAAAACAAATCTTGTTCTACTCAAATATAAGTTAATTTTTATTAATAATTTCATACTTAAGAAAAATTATATATCATTTAAGTATAACATTGAAATGACATAAATTAAATATTTTTGAAATTATCTATAAGTGTATAACCATGAAATGTAAAAATCGAAGTATCAAACTTTTCATTCAACTTACCATTCCGATACCATTTCTCTCGTAGTATAATTTATGTATTTTAATAACAAATTATTTCAAATACTGGATACGCTGATTTAACAAAAAAATATTTGTAATTTTTTCACTGAATTCAAAACTATTAAGATAGTTGTCACTTGATAATTCAGTACAATAACACTTTTTTTTCCTAACAACTAATAAAAAATATTGTTTTAAAGAATTACAATTCAACAATCATAACTTCCCATAAAATATAAGTATACAACTAATTGTGTTCATAATAAATATAATACTATAAACGTGTCGTATTAAAATTGTTTATATAACTTTTTTTTTTAATAGATCCCGGTACGAAAGTACCCATTATTTAATGCGTTAATATGAACATACATTATACAATAAATATAACTAGGTATATAATCTAAGGCTACATTATAAATTTCAATACATCAAATTATTATATGATACTGAACAGGGTATTAATTACTGCACAATCAATATAAATGCCATTTGTTGTATTTCAAATATTCTGTATGGAATTAAAGAAAATAATAAAAAGGAATTCCATTATAAATATGGTTTAATTGCTTTAAGCGTGCATTATAATAATTTCGATGTTTATTTTAGTTAATTTTATGTAAATTAGTACGTCGACTTTGGTTGCACGTAATTTTATCAGAGATTGAAAGGTTTATTGATTTTACGCTCGATTTACTTTTCTCAATTTGTTTTTTTCGGTATACTTATATTGGTGGTTTACGCCTGAACTGTAATTTTTCTATTTATTTTTATATGCTCACCAAAAACGATTTCACCCACAAATATTGAACTGAAAAAATTATAAACTCTCGATTTTAACGCCGACCACGATCTCGCATAACCTCGAACCCGTGAAATTAAAAAAAAAAATATATTATAAAATCTTCCTAATAATTTTAACATTTCTAATTCGGTGATTAAATCAATGACAATTAAATTCAATGTCAGAATTCACTAGTCATTGCAGTTTATCAAATACAAATGTAATTATAGTAATATAAATCACCTTGATTTTCTCTTATTGTAAAGACATATTTTTCTAAAAATTTTTTTATGAAATTATTAACGTAATGACATAAATATTAATTATCATAGCATACACAATTTAACTGTCCATTGAAATCCGAAAACCAAATCAATATATTTATACATCAATGCTAAGTAATATAGAAAAAAACATAATACTTTATAGACTAATAAAAATATTAAAATCAAAGAGCACAAATGAAAATATCAACATTAAAATCTGAGATAATTATATTTCGATGAATTTTGAGCATAGAACCTTAGTTGAAGAATAACACTGACTTTATGAAGATTGAGGGCACCACATCCGCATGTGATGTATATGTCTTGCAAACGCACAACATAACGAATCTGCGTTCATTAGAACCAATCTTTAGCTTTTATATAAAGTAAAATTACCTATTATAAATTTAAAGGAAACAATATTATTGTTTATATTTTCAAACTAATTATGATTATATAAAATATTACAAAAAACCATGATTCGTCTTAAAATTCAAGTATTGTAAGAAACCTCTCTTCGCATAGATAATGTTTTTCCGTTTGAGTTTGATAGTATATCAGTTTATTCTAATTCTAATTTTATTTTCTAATTAGAGATCACTACACAAAATCGGTTCTACTGAACGTAAATTTACTTTGATGTGCATTTGTAAGACGCAGACAACACACACAGGTATTGTCCTCTTAAAACGATAGGTTAATTCAAATATGGCATCAACAATTGGTGTAGATGTTTAAAACAAAAAGTCTAGTTAAACTGCGTATGCACATATTGAAAGGATTAAAAATTCGAAATGTTCTTACATGAATGTGTACATTTACATGTAACACCACTACTAAAACAATACATCTACATGCGTATAATACTGTACATAGTTTAAAAGCTTAACGGTTTATATTAACTATAAAACATGATTATTATTACCAACCTATATCTTTTGACCATATAACTTCGATAATATTTCAACATCAACATTTACATGCAGTCACTACTTTTTTTTTTTTTTTGATGAAAAATTTGAAAATTCGACACAGTATATGTTAGTATACACATACATAGAAAATTTACTTAAATGTAAACCCGAACAAAAACCTTGACCATAATGTAAAGTTTCTTCCGGAAACCGTATATTACCTACGTTTCTTTAGGTAAAACGAGTAATTTTGTGTTTCTTATGGGTTACGAATTGCATGCAAGGCCAAATTAAATTTTCTTACCTAATGTGAACAATT